CCAGCAGTACCCTTTTGCACTTTTTGTTTTGGGGTCCCGTTTATTCAGCCCTAAGCCCTAAACCCTAAACCTTAAACCAAACGGAATACAAGGAAACAGGGTACTCTTATTATTGAGGAGCTGAGGAACCTAGGAAAGATCCTGATGTGAGGGGGTTTTAGGGGTTCAGGGTTTAGGGTTTAGGGGTTTAGGGTTTAGGGATTTACGGTTCAGGGATTTAGGGATTCAGGGTCTATAGGGTTTATGGTTGAGGGCTTTGGCTCCATGCCGGGCGCGCGCTAGGGTCTTGGGTTTGGCGCTTACGCCTTATATTCCCACGACCTGTACCTGAGGTTCCTACATATGGGTAGCTCTCTAAATTAGGGTCCCTTTTAGGGTCCTTTTTTATAAGGGTGTCGTACTACAGTGGGGACCTAAAAGGGGACCCGAGTTTAGAGAACTACACAAATACTGCCGTACTGTAGAAAGATAACCCCCGACCCTTATTCATTTCTGCTCATTTGCGAGGGTCTTAGACGAAACCTCTGCAATCTCGGCTGCACGCGACAGCAATGGAAGACTCCCCGTGAAACCCTGTACTTAAACCCCTAAACCCCCGAACCCCTAAACCCTAATTCCCCTAAATCCCTGAATCCCTACACCCCTAAACCCCTAAACCCCTAAACCCTAAACCCCTAAACCCCCAAACCCTAAACCCCTAAACCCTAAATCCCCTAAAACCCTTAAACCCCTTTAAGGAACCCTATAAATCCCTTTAAGGGAACCCTTTATAAAGGAACCCCAAAGAGCCGACCCCTAAAACCCTAAACCCCGAGCCCATAAAAAATCCTTAGGCCTTTAAAAGGAGCCCTTAATGGAAGTCTAAAAAAAGGGAACCTTAAAAAGGGAACCCTAAACCGCTAAACCCCGTAAAGAGCCGACCTTCGTGGAGCTCCTGCGAGGCAGACTGGTCCCAGCGGCCCTGTGGACTGCTCGGAACCCGACGCCCGGCATCTCGAAGTCTGGGTTTGGGGGTTTGGGGTTTAGGGTTTGGGGGTTTAGGGTTTAGGGTACAGGGTTTCAGGGTTTAGGGTTTCTGGTTTTGGGGTTTTTAGGGGTTTCAGGGGTTTCAGGGTTTAGATTGTGGTGGTTTAAGGGGTTAAAGGTTTAAGGGTTTAGGGTTTTAGGTTTTAGGGTTTACGGTTTAAGTTTGTAAGGTTTAGGGTTTCAGGGTCTAGGGGATTTAGGGTTTAAGGGTTCAGGGCTTTTGAGGTGTAGGGGTTTTAGGTATTAGAATCAAAAGTAGCCGCCCGAAATAGTATTGGTAATTATCAAATTAACGGCCCCTATAGTAGCTCTCTAAATTGGGGGTCCTTTTATACTAAACCCTAAACCCTAAAAGCCCTTTATAAGGGTGCCGTACTATTTTGGATAGGGTCACGGGGTAAATTGTAAGAGAAGACTAGAGCTCAGGCCCGAAGGGCCCAAAGGACCTGGCAATTAGGGCTCGGGGTTTAAAGTTTCAAGTTTAGGGCTTAGGGTTGAGGGTTGAGGGTTGAGGGTTTAGGTATGTATGTATGTATGTATGTATGTATGTATGTATGTATGTATGTATGTATGTACCTGCTAAACCTTTTTGGCCTGAAATATTAGCCTTGGCTGTTCGTGTGCTTGCTTCTCCTGCAAATCCGCCTTCGGCTGTTTTTCAGCCTCTAAGGCTGAAAGTGTGTATTGTCCGATACACGAGGGCTGATTCGATACTTGGAAGCCTCTGCAGGTCAAACCGAAGGCTGATTTGATCTTTGGCCTGCCAAGCCCCAGTGCTTCAATTGTTCTAGCCACAGCATAGCTCCATGCACTTGCATTTCATGCATGGGTTTATCTTCATGTCGTTATGCACCTCTCGGTGTACCGGCATGGCCTTTGACCATCGACATGACGAGCCAGCGGGGGTGCTTCCGGCTCCATTATGCCGTGCCTGTGTGTATTTCCTTTCCAGATAGCTGCTCGCAAGCTGATGCATGTCTACATGACTTTTTGCTGGGGCTTGAACAATCATTTGTCCGCAGCCGCGATACTCGGAAGTGCATTTGGCGGCCATGTTGCTGACGAAAACACTCAAGGATGACGGAAAAATGCGAGCGAAGGTAGAACGCTCAGGCCGGGTGGGTGTATAGCTTGTTTTTTCGATTCTGTGCTTCATGGTGCGCGTGTATAGTGCCAGTAGGTTTTCGTTTGTTTTGGTGTGTGGAGGCCTCAGCGAGATGCCGGACCAATTTTGGTTGGATTGTAAGTCAACCATCTACAGTGATCACCATGATGAGAAGGCTGGCTGTATCAGCTATTCCCGGTGTGTTGTTTGTGCATTCGCGACAGCAATTGTAACATCTTGTGCAAAATGATGCTTAATGTAATCGCGCATACACAGCCTGGAAACAGGAGTTGACTTCGGAAATGGTGGGCTCTATATGCCAGAACTACAACTCCGGTGGGATTGCCAAGCAGCTCCACCACCTGTGGGCAAAATCCCAGAGTCGCTTTGCTAAACTCGTGTTGTACCCAAACCCAAATCTTCCTCTCACTCAGCCTTTTTCTGGCCCAGGCAAAGACAAGCTTGATGAGTCTCGGCGACAAATTCTTGCAAGGTCGGCGATGGCTGCATAAATTCTTATAAACCCAATGTTAGACTACACGTACAATGTTATTGTGCGGGGTTATGAGGAGTCCAGGGTGTCGGGCTTAGGCTCTATAGTGTAGGGTGTGGGGCCTTTTGGTTGAAAGCAAAGCCTGGTGGCTCCTATATAAATCTTGTGTTCTATAACTATATCAGCTAGTATATATAAGCATTGTAATTAGGGTTGAGACTAGGGTAGCTCGGGTTGTATAGATCGAAGCTATTCGGGATTCGTTTGTCCGGTTTAATATATTGATCTCGAAGATCTTACATGAGCTCACTGATTGGGGTTCATGCCGATCTATATTACTTGCAGGTTTTAGAAGGTGTAGGGGTTATATAATAGGGGCATAGGCTTTATATATACATATGAAGGCTTTATAGAGTTTAGGGTCTTAGGGTTTCTAGGGTTTCGATATCGATTTTTCCTGGAATGTGACATCTAAGTTCACAGCGATATCAGATGCCAGCTCATCCACCTCATCCGAGCAGCCTGAGATCAAGAGCCGGCCAAAGTCAAAGTGAAGTTCTGCTAGCATGTGCAGTTAGAGTGTGCGCCGCTGCAGTCGTACACATGTTCGGGCCGAGATCATGCAATTGGGGTCCGACTGAAGAGAAAAGACTGCTCCTTTTCGAACAATCTATAGAGGCTAGCTTGAGCTACAGTTTGGTGTGGTCATAATTGTGGCCAGGTCTTGGACGTCGACTACAGGATCGGCAAGAGACATTTCCAGGTGCAGGCGGGCAGCAAATTCTGGTTTTGGCGCATGCAGCTCCATCATCCGTCCTTAACGAGTATTAATGAGTCATCGGTATGCTGGGCATGAGTGCGCAGATCTTCTGTGTGTCCTGAGCATCAGCTACCTTCGAAAATACTGTAGTAGCCTCCCAAGCCTTTGCCCTAAACCCTAAACCCTAAACCCTTAACCCTAAACCATGCATGCATGCATGCACATGCATGCATGCACAGGTGTGATGCCTTCTTCGACTTTATCGTCTACGTGTGGTGGGACCAGTGTGCAGGACCAAGGCTCGGTGGATGCAGCATGCATGCACTCAGCTGCTACACAGTACGTGGTGGAAGTATAGAAACATTACCGCATATACCATATTAGCCTCTCGATGTACCGTTCCCTCTACTCAACCTTGTCAACGTCTAGTTTGCGGCAGGTCGGTGGCTTCGTGGTCGCAACTGTGACCAGTGCGCTGGTCTGACCGGGCCCTAGAATGATGTTTTCGCTGTGGCACATGCTGCTTGTATATATAGCTTCGAAATGACCGGGGCTAGGATACATTCTTGATTCGCATCTGCGTTTCCGAAGATTCTGTAGTGTTGCATGCATGTATACCCGTTTGCGAATGTTGTAGACAAGTTATATAGGTCTCGGCCCATGCAGCCCATTAAATTACATGACCCCCCGCCCACAGCCTGTGCCGATTCAGGTCCGTTGATCGCTCGAGCCAGTTTTTTGGTCTGGACCGGCAGGGGCCTCGCAGCCGGAGGGAAGTGTTTTCTTGTGCACCTGGCCACTGGCTGTTCTGCTGGTTGAAGGGTGATATATTGTTGCGGCGTCGACATCAGGTTTTTGGGCTCTGCTCTTTAGTGTTTGGGCTGTAGCTGTCGCACAGCGCCATGGCTGGCAGGATTCCGAAAGCCCCCCTTACAGGGCTAGCCGAGGAGTGGGAAAAATGTGACAACATTCGACGGCGTTTTGTTTTCGAGGGTAAGCTGCTGGTTTGGAACAAGCCGGCCCAGACCGGCATCCCAACGATGCAAAATGCGAAGTTGAACTTCGATGTGCTGCTTCCTTTGTTCCATATCTGGGCAAATTCATGCACTGCACCTCGCACTCCACGACTAGCAGCTGTGAAGAAGGAGGCTTGTATTGCAGTGGCACAAAGTTCGTGTTGCATGCAAAATCTCGGTTTGGGTTTGAGCTTACACAATGGGTCCTGGCAGGTTCGCAAGTTTTGGGACTTGCTGAACAAGCCGGTGTGTAAGATCCAGATCTACTGCGACTCCTGGGGGTTACGCAAGATGCTCTCCCAGTTCATCCGCAGGCTTCCCACCAAGAGCCGAAGCCCCGAAGCTTGGCAATCATGAATATATGAACGAGAAGCTCCCACTGCCTCGAACGATTCCCAGGACAGCAACCTCCGGCAGCTGAAGCGCGAGCTGCTGCTGGCCTGGGCACCCGAGAGGTGCCATGAGTTGGATGCCCCGCTTCGTGCTACCCGTCTTACAATCTTTGCTTATCTTGCATGTGCAAATACACATGTCAGATCTGCGTGCATGTGCACTTGTCTGCAGTGGTTGCCACGTGCATGCATATAAGGATGAGACAGGCGCAGAGATTCGAGATGATGAAGATTACGATCTGCTAGAGGATGATGAAGATGAAGCGGTTCAGGAGGAAGAGGCAGGCGAGGCAGCAGAGCCAAAGGCGGATGAAGGAGGGGATGAAGAGGAGGTTCATCAAGATGATGTAGAGGAGGCAGATGAGGTTCAGCAAGATGATGAAGTTGAGGCAGATGGTGCTGATGAAATGGAGTTGGCACTTGAAGTAGAAAATGAAGTGGGAGGCGAGGATGCTGAGTTGCGGGAAGAACAGGAGGAGGACCATGGAATGCAGGAAGGTGCCACTATCCTTGAGAGTCCGGCCGCTGCATCCGGCGAGCTTCGTTCGGAGCCTCACGACATCATTGAGATTGAGGCTACGCCAACCCCGAAACGACCCAAAGGTGTTGCAAGGCGCGACTCGTGCCCGAAGATTGATGCACCGCAGCCTACTCGTCTGCAAGTCCTTCACTCTATGCTTGCAAAGCTTCAGACACTGGACTGCATCCTGAATCCTGCAAACCCGAAACAATAATTATATAAACCCTATAAACCCTAAACCCTACACCCTAAAGCCTAAACCCTAAACTCCTACATAAGGAGAGAAAGCTTAAGACAGTGGACTGCATCCTGAATCCTGCAAACCCGAAACAATAATTATAAACCCTATAAA